TAGCACCCAGCATCTGCCGGTGACCATCGGGAGCGAAGCCTCGCGGGATCTGCCTAGTTTTGACTGAACTCTCTGTTTTCAGGCCTCCTTGGTAACAACTATTGTACGCCTTGCTCAAGACTTCGTTGGAATGAACAATGTGTGTCTGCTTGAGCCACTGGGCCAGTTCGGTACGCGACATGAAGGGGGCGACGATGCGGCAAGTGCTCGTTATATCTACACCAAGCTGACGTATGAATTTCCCTTTCGATCTCGTCCATGAGTTCCAGTTACTTACAGTCTTGTTCACTGCGGAGGGAGGAGGAGGAGGGATGGATCTGGCAAGGCACTAGCCCGTTTCTCCACATCTTTCTTTTGGCAAGCCACAGGACTGTCAGTCGTTTTGCACCACCTGTTGTTGCTTTTCCGCTTCTACAACAGGTGGAAAACGAGCCGGTGGCGCGCCAAACCCAGCCTCCTTGACAGGCCACACCATCCGCAGCGAACAAGACTTTGGTTACTTGATTAGCGGAATAGTTATGGTCGAGTAATCCTACTTCCACAGCCTCTGAATGATTTCCAGGCCAGTTACCCGACTGATATTCCCACCAGCGGATGATGAGCTTCTCCATTACTTGGAAGAGGAGAATCAGCTGATTGAACCTGAGTGGTGAGTTTGGTCCTCCCACGTCCTTTCCATGCCTTGATTGGTGAAGATCAAGAAAACATTCAGGTACTGTCCAATTATTCCAATGATACTGGTAAATGGAGCTGAAGGCATAGCCACCGGTTGGTCTACACGCGTGTTGAGCCATGACATCAAGAAAATAATCGACAATGTTCGAAGGCTAATTGAAGGGGCGGAGTTGGCAAAAATGGTGGGGTTTATCGATTCCCTATGACGTCTTCGTTTACGAAAAAAAGGCCAGTAGTTTAGGTGTGAAAAGCGTCCGTTGATTTTAGGTACCGTCATTCTCGGATTTTTCCGGGACTGTACAGGAAGTCGAGGAAAATAGGTTCGAAATCCATGGAAAATATACATTTCCACGTTCACAACGCAAGAATGCTTCGAGTTTTTGGTGAGTGCTCTTATATACACACGGCAATGACCCCTGCAACCAGTAGGGCGTTAACGCGGCGCGTATTGGAGCGCAGCCAGATCGCACTTTCCCACCAATGATGCCATCCTGTGCTAGGTCCAGCTGATGGGGAATCTTATTGGCTGCGCTCCAAGCCATGTCCCGTTGGACGCCCTATGGTTTGCAGGGATCACGAGTGTATCTTCCCTCGCGCTTAATTTTGGGTAATTTTCATCAATTAAATGAATTTTCGGGAGATTGAGAGGCACTAATTGAAATGAATTTTCGGGAGATTGAGAGGCACTAATTGTAAGTCACCTGAGGGACAAGCGAGACCAGGCCGCTCCCACTCTGTTCGCCTGCGCTCTCTTGGGGTAGGCTTGTTGGGAGGTGGTGCCTACTGACAGCTTCAACCTAATCCTTTCAAAGGCGTCGATTTTCTGTTTTTCTGTGCACTCTCGTCCAGATCGCATTCTATGGTCGTTGTGACGTCACATTTAGCTTTCGCATGTGATGAAAGGCTCACCCATCCCGGAAACGCCTTCCCTTTAAAAAAGCCGATCGCTGGGAATGCTGGTCATGTATTAATCCTGTAAGCTTCTCACCTTATAGTAGAATTGTCTTGTTTTATACAAATGTTCCACGTAGACTCCGCATACATACCGAAATGTGCAGTCCACGCTGATCATATGGGCGGAGTCAGGCCTACCGGTGTGTATCATTGACACCCCTCTCCTTTACTGCCTACGAAATGAGAGGCTCACCAAAGAGGAAAGCTTAGCGGTAGGCCAGATTCCGCCCATACCACCCGTGCGCACCATGTGTTCAATAAAGACTGTTAGGGGCAGCTCGGCGACGGGGGTGGGGCATTTTGCTTTGTTGCTACTTCCCAGTGTCGAGCCATCTAGAGAGCTGTTTCATGAGCTTACTAGAGCTGACAAGTTTTACCAGAGTGAGGCCCATAAACCGGAACCAGTGAAGCAGCGAATGTGCAAAATGCCCCCTCCACGTCACCGAATTGCCACGATTATTTTGTTTGTTTCGAATTTTAGCCTCGAAATCGTCGAGCTGCCTGTAGGTGAATGGACCAATAGGTACAAGCAGAATATACTCCATCCGCTGCAAACGAAAGGTGTGATCAGGTTAGTCAGAATAGTATCGGCCTTTGAGACAGAGACAGTTTGGAAAACAAGTAGAGTTAGCCTTTTTCCGCGATAACTGTTTGGGCGGAGATCATGACCATTGAGCCGTCTTCACTGGTTCGCCCCTCCTTTCAGTATAGAAGAGGGGGTGGCAGTGAGCAAAGCGTAATAGTGATGAGTGTCCGCCCACCTTACTAACGCGGAATCTTCCTAAGGATAACAAACAGCAGTGTTACAGTGGCTTCAAAGAATATCACACGGAAAGACGAGTGCGATTCGTTAGTGGAATTGAGCAAAGAATTTTCCGCGCGATGTCGACGAGCAGTCGGACGTTATGGCGAGCTGATGAAGACGTTCAAATTGTCTTCGGTGATCTCAAGTAATTCCATGGTCGGTGTTATCATTCGGAATATTTGTAGAAGTACAGACTTGTTCGCTACGGATGAAGGGGCGTGTCAGTTTGCTGGTCTGGTTTGGTGTGGTCTCCACTAGTTGTTGGGGCGGGTGCTGGTGGAAAACGACTGATACGAACGATATGACCAGTCTTCTCGCTTGGTAAAAGTAAAAAAAAGAAAAAGCGGGCTTGTATTGCGCCAAACCGTTCCCCTTTCGACATCATGCGCAGCGAAAGACGGGTTGGGGCCGCGCCAAAACCATCCCCCTGGACACGCCGCATCATCCGCAACGAACAAGACTAATTGATATTGACATTTGTTAGCCCGGAAATTTCTGCAACAGAATCATACTCCAATGTGTAAAAAGTAGTTGATGGAAGGAAGGAGAGATGGAGGGGGTGGGGAAGCGACATCTTTTCGGCTTGTCTGCGTCTTCTCACTAAGGTAGTGCTCGTTCAGTAGCCTCCCCTCTTTCCCATGCTCATCAACAAATCACCATATTGAGGAATTTTTTCTCTTCTATCGTTATCACTGAAGTGAGTCGAGGCGTGTCAGGGGGATAAGTCTGGCACGGCGCCAGCCTGATCCATCGATTGCTGCGATTCAATGAGTGGGGAAAATGGGCTGGCGCTGCGCCAAAACCTGTGCGCGATGTTATCAGTCTGGCCGCACTGATAACGGTATATGTGCCGCAGACCGCCGAGAGGTGGGGCGAGGGTAGATGGGGCGTCTGAGTCGGGAACAATAAAAATGCGAGAAAAAAGATTTCGCGAACCGAACGTGCCCTCTGCATTGACGAATCCCCAATTATGATCTCCTCCGCTCCACCAGCATTTAAACTTAGCCGAGCAAAGGTCGGACGCCGACACAGTTCGGCGACGGGGGGGGGCATTTTGCACTTTGCTACTTCCCATCGACGTGTCGACCATCTAGACAGCCTCTTCTCGAGTTGACAGGTTTTACCATGATGGCTTGACGAGCTTGCTCCAGCTTCACAAGGTTCACAGGTTTCACCAGACTTCAAAGCGGAGCTAGTGAGCTAGTGAAGCAACGAAAGTGCAAAATACCCCTCCACCCTTGCTAAACTGAGCCGTTGGCGCAACCTGGTCTGCCCACTGCTTTTTTCCCTCGAGTGTAATGGTCCCGAAAATTCAGTGGAATTCCGCTAGTGATACTCTTTTAGGTGCTGTTCGATCCTGTGGGCCGTTGGAAACACTATGCAACTACGCAGACATAATGCGAGAACATTTTTATGATCGTTAACAAAAGTATGAGGAAAGGAAAGGCTACGAAACACGAATGCTTGACGCACAACGACGACGAGTGGAAAATCAGGTAATCATAAGCAACCTCATAATAATAAGTTAGTAGTTTTTATTACTGTGTTATTAAATAACAACTTCTAAGCAGTCAGATTCTTCAAAAATGAAAAATTGTAAGAGAACATACCCATAATATCAAATATTCAAAAAACCTTCGAATAATCCTCGCAAGGAAAGGGGATGTGCTAAAGAGTCAGTGGTTATACAGAGCTTCTGTCAACCGGATATTATTGCGTTAAAAGGGCTTAGAGGAACTTTGTCATCGACTCTTCCGGGCGAGCTTGAATGCAGTGAAACAACAAAGAAGGAAAAGAGAAGGAAAGAGGATCAAGGAGGAGGTGAGAGGACTCACGATTGGCAGGTAGACAGTGAGACCGTGGGGTGGGGGGAGGAGGAAGGGAGGGGAAGGAGGGCAATAGCTGCCAAAAGAGACCATTCCTCGGATATTTCTTGTTCGTCTACGCCCTTTCATGAGGACAGTTGGTCGCCTAGACGGCCCCTCTACCGATTCTAGCACCAAACAGAATTAATTTCTATTCCATGATGATGATTTCATCGTTGGATGGCTCCTTTTTCACTTCAAATATAGAATTGAGACCTACTACGTCACATTCTTTTCTCATAACATCCTCAAGTGATGATTGGCTTTCGCAGTCCGGTGGTGGTTTTCTTTCAGGATGTTCTTGACCATTTTGAGATACCTGTAAAAAAGTATTGCGCCAAGAATCAATCGGAGGTGACCGCAGTGTGCAAGATGAACAAGATGATCGTGATTTGCTACGATGTCGCGCGCGTCGAGTCGTGTGTGCAATTTCTGAGTATCGATTTCCCTATTGAAGGAAAAAGAAACAGAACGTTTTTGCATACAGGAGAAGGATAAAACGTGCGCCAGTAGTTCAGGATTTGTCGCTAAAGCCTCCATAATCAATCTAATACCAATCATTTACAAGTAACCTACCTACTTAAGCGCTGAAAGAAACGAAAGAACTTATGAACGAGGATAGGAAACAGTTCAATTCGGAAACCGTCCCTTTGATATCCACATTTAAACGGCCAGGCAAGACACTCGTCCTTCGCGGTCACAGAATCGCTCGCCACGCCCACCAGCGCGGCATACTACGATTATTTTGCCTTATACCCCTCTTGTGGAGGATGTGACAAGACAATATGCCCACTGGTGGGTGTGGCGAATGACGCACGACGGACGAGTTGTCCTGTCTGGCCATATGAATATGAGTGTTAAAGGAAGGGAAAATTTGGTATCTTCTTTTGAATTCGTATGAGTTCGCTGCTCCAATCGATAAACTGACGCACATCGAGAATTTCGCCGCATGATACGCCGCAAACGGTGACGCGACAATTTATGACTGCCTTGTCCGTCTCCCCTGCTGTTGAGTAGGCCGCCAGCAACACTAGTTTCTGCTCTACTGCTTCCTCTCACCGAGACAGTGGTTCCTTTGCCTCCGCGGACTCACCCTTAGAGGAGCACCGACGACCAGAACACGCGCGGCTCCGCTTCGAGGTACAAAAAAGCAGAATTAATCGTGCCGCCGCGCAGCTCCTCAACTGCAATGGCGACAGAGGTCGTATTTTCCTTTTTACACTCACTCTCATGTAGGCTCCGGCAGGGTTTCCCTGTAGATCGCTTGCGACCAATTCCGTCAGGGTAGGAATCCTTTCAAGGAAAAGTTTGGTATTCACTCCAATCGCTCCTGCGATTTCACTGGCTTTCGTCATCATTGCGGAGTTCATTTGTGAAATCAAACCATGCTGGTTGCTCTTCACACACAGTTCCATCAGTTCATTTACAAACCGATTAACCTGAAAGAAAGAGCTGATCAAATTACTTGGAACTATGATGAATTCTATTGAAATATTAGTTTTGGATATGAAAATTCACCTCTTGAAATGACTGGAATGCTTCTATAGCGGCTGTATCTATTCGCTGCATTGGCCGAAAGGAACATCGGGGCCGGTTCAGGCATTTCGTCGCCGCTCTCTGTCAGATCAATCACTTCTTCACATGACAGCCGAGTTCAACTGAAAATCGTGGAAAAAAAGAAGGCATTAATGTGAAAGCCATAAAATATTAACTGAAAAGGTTTAAAGGCAATGCTCTACGTAAGAGCGCGTTCATACTTCGCTCGCTTCGCGCCAATCGAGCGACAACTCCTAAAGTATGAACGCACTCTAACAATGAAGACTGAAGAAGAGAAGACTATGCCTGTTGTCATTCTTTGAAAGTTACCTCCAGGTGAAACTTCTTCGTCTGGCTCACTTTGTTTTGAGTTTTCTTCGACCACAGCCTGTTTTTTGGGAGGACGATATTTTCCTTCAACAAGCCCGTGGCGATGTGCTATACGCCTGAATATTTTCAATAATTACTTTGAACTAAAAATTTCGTGTAAATAGCTGCTGCGCGCCGTTTTTTATCTTTGCAGACGTGGATTTTAGAATATCATCGATACTACTGGTCAATAATTTTTACTGTCAGGACGTTGCTTCAAAAATTGAGAGGAGGTGGGGGTCGTACTTCTGTTGTTATCGGTTGCGTTTGGCCCCAAGTTGACAGAGGCCTTTATAAACGAAAATCGATGAAGGCAACATGAGAAAAAGTTAGACTGTGTAACCCTAGTAAGGTCTAGGGTTACGCAGTCGTACAGTCTAGATCGCTGCGGATGATGAGGCGTGTCAACGCCACTGCGTTTGCCGCGCAGCCAGCCCGTTTAGCACCAGTCCACCAGTTGCTGTGGAGGTGGGTGGGAGTCAGTGGTGACAGAACTAGTGGATAGCGACTGATACGAACAATATGATCAAGTCTCGGCGCTTATCGAAAGAAGAAAAGAAAAAAAAACAACTTAGCGTCGCGTCGCAAAGAAGTACAGTCACGTTCACTGTTGGGGGTGGGGGGGACGCTGATACGCCCCGTCAACCGCAGCGAACGTGACTGTACTTCTTTTTTTGAATATTTCTATGCTTACTCCTTCCTCAGCGATCCAGGTATCCAGGTTAGCAGTAGGCAGCATAATAACATTTCATTTTCTAACTGATGCATTTCGGATTGCTGAGAAAAAGCTACAGCAAAGCAACAATCGAAGAAGTAAATAATTTCGCAAATACTTTCAAAGTTCTTTTTGAATCTCTGAAGTCTCTTGATTTTTTTAGTGCCTTTTCATGTTTTCACAAAAAAAAATTCGACTTAGAGGCCCTAGCTGAGCTTCTATTCACCATATGTCCTTTTCCTCGACATAGCAGACACGGGCTTGTCGATCGGAACCCAATGAGTGGTCCCATTTTTCCTCAAGTATTTTCGCCACAATCTGTAACATATGTTTCAAGTCATCTCTTCTGTTGTCAGACCCTTGGGATCTTACCTCATCTTCTTGTAAGCCTTCCCTTAGCATGCTCAATATTTCTTCCTCGTCATTTTGCGGAATTGGTAACTTCGAAGGGCAAATCCCATGGCCAAGATGGCCAATGCAACCTTCATAGGTGACATTTCCATCTTCTTTTTCGAACACCTAAACCATTTCATGGGTATAGATGCAACCGCTCAGGTATCTGCCATATAAACATCGTCATCCGGGCACTTGATTAGGCGGCCAAGGGGTCGCGACGCGGCTGCGGCGTGTCACGAGCGCGGCGATCAGCTGTTTCCAGCCTATTTTAGCCATTTTCTCCCTAATTTACACTGTTTTGACTGTTTTTCTCAAGATTAGTTGTTCCTTATCTTCACAAGGTAAATTATGATTGAGATTCCTCTGATTTTTGCGTAAACTATACAGTTAAGCAGACAGTTGAACAAATGTCTGAAAAAAAAATCGCTAAAACACTCTGTTGCGAAAACAAAAAGTCCACATCCTAACGCACTTCAGGCAACAAAACAACTCACTTGAAAAAAAATAGAAAACTGAAAATTAGCGAGAAAATGGCCAAATTAGGCCGGAAACAGCTTATCGCCGCGGTCCTGACGCGCTGCAGCCGCGTCGCGACCCTTAGCCGCCTAATCAAGTGCCCGATGATGACTGTACGAAAGGATGTGATGTATTTCGATAGAAAGGAAACCTACCTTAAGAAACGCAGGACAGTGAGCTGGCATCCGTTTGCTGTGAAAGGGAGAAGATCCCTCCTCCGCCCCCTCCGGTGCCGGTACAAGTATTGCTTCCCCTCGGGCATTTTTGCAGAAGAAGAAATGCTGTGTTCCGTTGTCTTTACAAGGCATCGCATACCTTTTGGTGAAATTCACAAGTGAAGAATTCTCCACCGATTCTTTCCATTTCTGAAATCAAATATGTTATGGTTCCCCAAGCATTCTGAAGAGCGCGTACACTTTCGAGACCAAGGCTCCTTTGCAAGGGTATAGTCGAGGAGATTTACGTTGCGACGACGCAGCTTTGTCACGGGTGTCACTTGTGTAACACTCGCACCGTAGAGGTGCTACGATAGGTTAAGTCGAACGGCTAGGGCACTCCCTACCAGCTTCTGCGCGTACCACAACGTGTATCTCCTAAACCACACTCCTTTCTGAAAATTCAAACTCTCTAATAGTCTTCTTCCACTCGTTGGGAGCATCGTGAGGAGAGTTTTGCTTTCGCCCCTATGCTCAAAGCCCCATTTAAGGAAGGATTAGAAATTGTATACTCAAATAGAACTATTCCTGGGAAAGAAAACGTAAAAAATGAACAAATTTAATGGTTCAGGGATTACGCAAAGGTGATCAGTATACGATTCCCCCAACGAATACACATGGGAAATATAAGACAGGGTGTTGGGCACGACATTTCTCACCACTAGGACCTCACATAGGCTGAAGCAGTGCGTCTGACACGCTCTGCATGCCAATTTTCCAGATACTATTGCATGTAAAAAGATGAGCCTATTGGCGCTGATCTGACCCTCTTTGGGATGCGCCGCTCACCCTAAATCCATTCCCGAACACAGCGACTCACTGCGTACAATGTAGCCTATACATCGAGGGGCCAGCTGATGTACAAATCAGTGTTTTTATCCTCCCAGACGAATCTAGTAGAAAGTGTTCATACTTCGCCGGTCGGGATTGCGAAGTATGAGCGCGCTTGTACCAATTAGCCTCGAAGGAATGGCACGTTTGGTTGGCTTGTATCAGGCTCTTTAATGAAAGATAAAACATTAACTTGTACATCGGGTGACACGTCATGCAGACCAAAAAAAAAAAACAGTCAAATTTCACTACGATTTCGAATGTGTGGCGTATCTCAAAAAAGGACTGATCATCGCCAAAAGGTTTACTGCTTGGCTCCCGTCTAAGGGCACGTGCGAAACGGAAACTAAGCTACTTCTTTGAGTCACCCCCTCAAAAACTTGGAGAGAAAAAAAATGTATAAAGAATTATAGCCATCAAGATACTATATAAAATCACATCAAAATTGTATTATTCATATTCAATTACTCAAATTCCAGAAGCAAGGGAAGGCGGGAGGTGGGGGAGGGGGGAGTGTGAAGCAAATGCACGACTTTGCTACGTCATTTCTTGTCTTGACTATCTTGTCTTGTCACGTTTGTCACGTCTTTCCTAGAGCGCAGATGTGCGCCACTCTCCTAGTCGGAGTGAATTTGCGGATAAAAACACAGCTGTTATCACCGAACTCAGTTGGGCGTGCCAGCGGCGCGGCGCATACGTTTTGGCTCGAAGCCAGCCCACTTTTCATCAAGGTTGTGGCTTCAGGCGTTCATAGTGGTGGGGAAGGGGCTTACACGCCCCGACTGACTCCAGTGTTAACGACCGTACATGACGTGGTATAGTCGCTCACCGCGAGGCCGCTTCCCCTCCCAACTGGCTTTCCCCACCATTTTTATAGTATTAGACAAAGTTTACCTCGAATGCTGCATAAGAATCGAACTCTCCGGTGATAATGGAAAAGTCCTGTGTTCGCTGGTTTCAAAGTATGGCATTCAGCGCAATGTTTAGCTAACTGCCGGTGTGTGTTGAACTTTTGACCACATTCTGGGCAAATAAGTTTCGACGATGTTCCTTTGGGATGTTCTCTCTGAATCACATAAAAATAATGTAGAAATATAATATATAAATATGAATATATTCATACCTGTTTATGATGTCGTAATGAAAGCGAAGTGCTGTAGATCTTATGACAAATATCACAACGAATGTCCGCTTTTTTGGCCCGTATTCGCAATTTCTCCTCGTCGATCTGAGTCTTACTCCAAGAATGAGATTTACGGAGATGATCGTATAAATGCTTCAAAAGTACTGGACCGTGTCCGCAGATTGTGCATTTTTCCAGCGGTCCGCATCTGAACAAATTATATAAGTTGATTTATTTGTTACTCGTATGATCACGTAAAAATCAAGGCGCTAAGTTGGGGGATGCAACACGGCTGCGCTTCTGCGCCCTTTCCAAGCAAAACCATAGGCTTAGGGTTGCGAAGTTTTGGGAAACATTTTCACATTCAGCATAAATTCAGCAAGAAGGGTTCACGAAATAGTGCCTCGGTAGTTCAACAGCTGCTCCCAGAATGCGCAAAATACTTATTTCTAAGTAGCCTTTTTTCGCAGATTCCATCAATTTCCTGATTAGTCAGATTCTGCACGTTTACCCGTATACGTTGTTTTTTGTGCAATTTTTCAAAATTCTTTCTGGATGAGCGCAAGCTGGAGAACATAATTACTAGATAATAGAACCCATGCAGTACCAGTCCGGTCATTATTGGTACTCTTGCATGATACAAGTC